ATTAACCTCTTCGAATATGCTTTCTTTTTCTTTTCCAGTTGGAGTTGATGTCCATAAACCGGTGTTAATGTCTCTTGTAAGGAGCTGAGCTTTGTATTTGCAGAAGGAAATCTTTTAAAATCTTCTCCAATGGGCAACCGACAACGAAACGTTACAATTGGGCACGTGCCTGGGAGCGCCTGTGGTTTTTGTAGAGCTGTTCCACTGCACTCACTCACTGTGTCTCCTTTTCGCTCTCTTGTGCAGTAATAAACGGCAGAATCATCAGTGACTAAGGCCCGCAACTGGAAGTAGAACTCATTGTTCCAGTTGCTCCTGGCAATAGTAATTCGACCGCTGAATGCTGTGTTGTAGTAAGGTTCTCCTCCTTGTGCGATGCTTTTGATGCCCCCCAACCATTCCAGCTTTTTGCCTGGAGATAGACGATTCCATCCCCAGAACCACCCGCCGACCTCAGGCCCAGAGACGACACAGGTCAGTTTGAAGGACCCTCCGGGCTTTACAATGAGTGAGCTAGGCTGGGCCAGTTGCACAGCAGCGGAGATGTCTGGAAAAGAAAGGTGGCGGAAGTTAGAACCACACCTGTTGCGTGTGCGTGTCTTTGTGTTGGGTCTGTCGGTCCAGATTCTAATACAAGGTAACTGAAGGATGTTTGTGGAAACAAAGCCTCTCGTCTCCATTCTCTCGTGCTCTGAGAATCTCACAGGAATATAGAGGGTTTTTCTGAAGTTTGTGAGTGGAAGCCCCTAGTGAATTCTAATCCAAGGATACTGAGGCACTGCACAGTACCAATTCTGGATTAGTACAGCACCTCAAAAAACCCCTGCATAAATTGGACCACCAACTGATTGGGGAAATACCACTGTTCCCTGTTCCCTCCCAAATCCTCTCACAGAGTGTTCAAGGGAAGATTACTGACACCCTAGACTTAGCTTTTGAGAGGGGAAGATTTAGGTGGCTGAGGCCATAAAGGTGCATGGCGAGGGTGTTTCCCTGAAATTTTGGGGGGAGGGTTTGAGGTCCCCAATCCATGAACTGCCCACAGTGTGGGGAAGAAATAGAATTAGAGGTTGAAGGCTTTCTTCTCATGGATTCCTCGAAGTCATCTTACTTCATGTTCCAGTCCTTAATGGCTGATCTAATGTTTCAATTCTCACCTGGTGAGATTTCCAGGAGAAGGAAGAGGAAAAACAGCTTGGATTTCATCTCCGTTCCTTTTCATTCACCCAAGCACTCTTTGCTCTTTCTGTTTTGTTTCTGCCAAAGAGGTGGGGCTGATCTTGACCATGAAACAAGGCAGGATGAGGCAAATTTAAAACATAGGCAGCTCATTGGCAGATTTACATAAACTGAGAACTGTCCAGCTTTAAGAAGCAACAAGAAAACAGGAAGGTACAACCATCTGCGCTGTACCTTCACAGGTTCATATTCTGTGGGATTGTGCTTTGTGGTTATGGGTAATCGTCTCCAGAAAGCGAGGGGGCTTTTCCACTTGTTGTTGTTGTTTAGTAATTTAGTCGTGTCTGACTCTTTGTGACCCCCCATGGACCAGAGCACGCCAGGTCCTCCTGTCTTCCACTGCCTCCCGGAGTTGGGTCAAATTCATGTTGGTCGCTTCGGTGACACTGTCCAACCATCTCATCCTCTCTCATACCCTTCTCCTCCTGCCTTCACACTTTCCTAACATCAGGGTATTTTCCAGGGAGATTTCTCTTATGAGATTGGAGCCTCAGCTTCAGGATCTGTCCTTCCAGTGAGCACTCAGGGTTGATTTCCTTCAGAATGGATAGGTTTGATCTCCTTGCAGTCCAGGGGTCTCTCAAGAGCCCCCTCAAGATCACTTACGTGATCAAATATTTTCACACCATCTTCTATGACCATTGATTTTAAGGCCAACTGGCAAGAGGGAAAATAATAAAATCCAGTTAGAGGTTGACTATGGGAAACATCATTAATGGGCAGAAGACTGAAGATAACATTTTTTTTCTTAAATGCCAGAAGGACTACAAATAGGGCTGCAGTTTGTGAAAATTATGAAAATAGGAATGCATTGGGGGGGGGGAGAACTTGTTTTGGCCTAGATATGATGAATCTCCTGGGTCTTGGAAATCACTCAAGAGAATCTGAACTCATGACAATGAAGAATTTTGAAAGTATTTTTTTTTTATTTCCTTTTCAGGGTTATGAGCAGCCCATTTGCCACACTGTCAGGATAGACGGCAAGGGAGAGAGAAAAGGCAGAAAATGTAGACTTAAAAAATAAATAACTCTAGAACCAAGGTCTCCTTGATGTCCTAGAACCCTAGAAGTGTGGAGGTGAAATGGATCCCAAGGTCATTGAGTCCAACCGGTTGAATGTTTGGTCTCAGAAAAGTGTCATCAGTCTTGTTGGGGGACAACCCCATCTTTCTTTTGTTCCCATGACAGACCCTGAAAGATCAGGTTGTGAAATGTGGGAATTGGGTAAGCTGACACAAGCGCTGGTCTACACGAGCCCTGGGACCAGCTCTTGTGTTAGACAAATAGAAGTACAGGGCTATGCCATGAATATGAATCTGTGGTAGATCTGAAGGGAGGGAGAAAAGGCCACTGTAGAGCTCTCCAGGGTGCTGAATCCTACCCTCCAAATAAGTTCAGCAACCTGGATAGCTCCTGTAAAGTTCAGACAGATGGAATAAACTCAGAACATAGTCTCTGCCCCATTGATACTGGAACCAGTAGACTAGAAATGAACTGCTGAGAAGAGAGACAAGGAGAAAGACGGGGAGTGGGAGCTTTCTATTTTGGCCTCTGGCCTCATCCTGACCAGACTTCAACTCTGTGGGAATCTGCCTGATGAATTATCTCTGGGGGGAATCTAGTCCTTAGAAGGGCCACACAGACACACGACATGGCCCACTTACTACTATTTATTTGATCAAGCAGATTGTGATAATGCTAGACTGGTTTTCTTTCCCCAACCAGCCTGGAGTAACAAGGCGAGACACAGGAGGTGGGCTGAAATCAGGGCCACACTTTATTAAACATTAAACACGACATCCTTTTTCACAAGGGGGGGAGAACAGTAGAGTGGAATCATAACCTGTATCTGGGGCCAGCCCTGCCCCTGACCTGGACGTTTATTGGGTGAGTTCCCATAATAATCGGGTGCCTTCTAGGATGCAGGCTGGACAAGACTCCCAACTCTAGGTGATCCATGGCCCTGGGGACCCCAATGCATCTCTCTCCCAGTGGAGAAACCTCAGGATCTACAATGATGGAAGTTGGGATGTCTTACACCCCTGTGGATGCCCATTAAACCCACCTTCCAGCTCATGTCTACTGCTACTACCCACCAGTGTGACTAAGTGATCTCACCCAGCCCAAATGCAGAACAAGGAAAATTAAGAATGGGATGGTCAAAAACTCACCTGCTCACCTGCCAGTTATAGGGATCGATCAAAAATTCCCATCTGGCCCTGAATTGACCAGCTAATCTTGCTCTTAACATAGGATGGGTGGGCGGGCTGATAAGCCCAGTGCAAAGAGGACGAGGGTGGGGATAAGCAGCATTTTAAAAGCAGGACTTGCTCCTCTACCATTCAGGGAACCATCTACCATTCTCCTGTGTGTGCTTCAGCCTTTTGGGTGTGGGAAAAGTTCCCACTTCTGTAGCAGTGGCCATTGAAGGAGCTTTACAGATGTTATTTGCAGATGAGAGAGACCAAACCCATTCAAGCCACTTGTGGTATTTGCATGGGTGCTTTGCTGCTTTGCCTCACTGTGTCTCTTGCACAATAGTACATTCCTGTGTCTGCAGCTGCCATGGAGCTCATCTGAAGGTAGACTTCATTTCTGGAGGTGTCCCTGGAGACGGTGACTCGACTGCTAAAAGCAGAATTGTAGTAGGGGGTTCCTCCATCTGCAGTGTCCCGAATGTAACCCAGCCATTCCAGAGTTTTCCCTTGGAGCTGCCGGATCCATCCCCAGTAATAATCACTGACTTGAACCCCAGTTACAGTGCAGGTGAGTTTGAGGGAGCCCCCAGGCTTCACCACTCCCAAGCCAGACTGAATCAGCTGAGGACTCGAGGAGGTACCTGTAGGGAAGGAGAAAAAATGGAGTCATCCTCATCTGATTTCTAATTTGAGTTATTTCTGGTTCTGCTTTTTTCTTTCTACTCCCTTGAGGAATTCTCACCAGGTAAGGTGCTCAGGAGAACAAAGCAGAGCCATGTGGATCTCATCTTTTTGGTTTCTCTGCCCCTTTCCCTTCTCTGCTGGTTCTCAAAAAGGAACCGGAAGCTGAACCCTGGAAGAGCAAAGGGCCCTGCTATTTAAAGAGAAGGCAGAGTGAGACATTTGCATGAAGGGGTTCCTCTAGATAGACTTCTTGTGCTCTGAAGAAATGGGCAGTATTAAAGGGAAATTCTTGTTCTGAAATTCTCTTTCTCTGTCTTTCTACCTCTAGAATCAATGTGCTGCCTTTCCCCTATAATTGGGAGTTAAGGCAACTTATAAAATGATTTTAAAGAACAGCCATCTGAATTATAGAAGCAAAAGAAGGGTATTGGTTGGGGCCAATGAGGCCACACAGATTTGGGCCAATGAGACTCCGTTCCCTGACCATATTACATGCACTGGTACTCTCAAGGATTGACTACTGCAATGCTGTCTACATGGGGCCAACTTTGAAAGTGATGTGGAAGCTGCAGCAGGCGGCAGCCAAGCTAGCTTTGCGGGCATTGAAATCCAATGGTATTTCCCCAACCCCAGCATGCCTGTAATTGCTCCATGTTTACTCCTGTGCCAAATTTAGAATGTTAACATAGAATTGTAAAGCTCTAAATGGTTTGCTACCTGAATATAGGTTGGAGCATCTTTCCTTAAGGTCTTATACCTGTGCTATCCAGTCTTCTCGGGCTTCCCTGCTGTGGGTGGCTGCACTTCCTCAAGGAGAGTCCAAATATATGCAAGTAGCATCAAATGACAAACAGATTTTCTTGTACAGTCAATGGCTCTTAATTCCACATTCAAGACCGAAGAGTTTGCAACAAATTCTTGGGAATAGTTCTTGTTAGTTTTAAAATTGTCCTTTCAACAGACCTTGGGAACAGTTTTTGTATGACAAGGTGGAGTACAGTAATTCTTGATTAGACTCCCATTTAAGACTCTTCTCTCCAAAGCACAAAACTGTGATGAATGAAAGAGAACTACTTTTATAAAAAGTAAGGAAGAGAAAATATCTCCCTTTGGGTTTGCTGTGTTACCTGATTGATTGATTGATTGATTGATTGATTGATTGATTGATTGATTGATTGATTGATTGATTGATTGGTTGGTTGGTTGGTTGGTTGGTTGGTTGATTGGTTGGTTGGTTGGTTGGTTGGTTGGTTGCCTGATTGATTGATTGATTGTTTAATTTACCCCTCCCCCTTTTCTCCTGATAGACAGATTTAAGGTGGCTTACAAATGGTTTAAAAATCAGAAATATTAAAACAATTACAGGTATCTATCTATCTATCTATCTATCTATCTATCTATCTATCTATCTATCTATCTATCTATCTATCTATCTATCTATCTATCTATCTATCTATCTATCTGTCTGTCTGTCTGTCTGTCTTCATTTCCAGTTCAGCCTTCCTCTGCAGATTCCATCAGCAAACGAAAGTGCTTTCCATATAACATTTATGAAATGCTGCCACCTATTGACACAAGTGTGCGATCAAGCCAACTGTCACTTATGGTTCAATGATACTTCTTCAAGGTCTTCCAGACAGAGACGGCTCAGAAGTGGTTTACCTTTCCCTTCTTCTGGGGGTGCCCTGAGATTGTGCAGCTTGCCGAAGACACCACACAATGGGTTTGCTCCCTGGGGGCATAGTGGAGAATCGAACTCCAAACCTCCAGCTCCCCAGCCAGGTCCCTCAACCGCTGAGCTACATTGCATGCTGTCAAAAAGCACCACACGATGGGTTTGCTCCCTGGAGGCATAGTGGAGAATCGAACTCCAAACCTCCAGCTCCCCAGCCAGGTCCCTCAACCGCTGAGCTACATTGCATGCTGTCAAAAAATCAGACGGGTGGGAAAATATACCATGCTGGAGGAGAATTTGTGAATAAGGATATCTTTCTGGACTGCCAGAAGGATGAAGAAGTGAATCCTAGATCAAACGGACTTTCTGTGGTGAGCTAAAAATGGTGAAATGGAGTCTGTTCCATTTTGAAAGTGAGAACATGCTGTTTCAAGTCTAAGGCTGGTTTTTGCCTGGATGCTCCACGGCTTCGCCTCACTGTGTCTCTTGCACAATAATACGTTGCTGTGTCTGCAGCTGTCAGGGAGCTCAGCTGAAGATACACTTCATTTCTGGAAGTGTCCCTGGAGATGATGATTCGGCTCCCGAATGCTGGACTGAGCTGTGTGGTTCCCCCTTGGGCAGTGCTTCGAATGAACCCCAGCCACTCCAGCCTTTTCTCCAAAGGCTGACGGACCCAGCTCCAGTAATAATCACTGACTTGAACCCCAGTGACAGAGCAGGTCAGTTTGAAGGACCCTCCGGGCTTCACCACACCGGGGCCAGTCTCAATGAGCTGTGGACCGGAGAAGACACCTGTGGAGAAGGTTCAGAACGGAGAGTCAAAATCCGGATTCTGCTTGTGTTGGGATCCACCTCCTCCTCTCCCTCATATGTCCTTACCATGTGAGAGGTTTAGAAGGATGAGGAACAGCAGGGCTGGTTTCATTTTTCTTTCTTTCCTTCCTTCCTGTTCCTCTCACCCCAACGTCGTCTTGCTAGCTAGAGGATATACAAAGGGGATTTAGGGAGGCCGTGGAACAAATATCAGATGATGTTCATTAAGTGGGAGGAGCCTGACTGTGAGATTTGCATGGACAGAAACCTGTTCCCTGGGGTCATTTGAGAAGCAGAATGGATAAAAGATGAGAATCTTACAGGGGTGTCTTGAGGGAGGACCTTAGGAGATGGAACGGGCGCTCTGCTAAGAAAAAGTCTTGCTTCCTCCCGTTTCTGTTGACACTTTCTTGGCTCATAAAGGAGAATGAAAAGAGTTGTACCTTATTGGCCAAGTATAATTTTTAGGGCAAAAGGAAAAAAAAAATCATACAATAGGATAAGGCCTGTTGTGCGGACAAGAGTGGTTCTTTCTTATTATTTATTTTTTTAACAAATATTGATATGCTACCTTTCTTCTAAGGGACCAAAGGCCATTTCCCATATGAAAACAGCAACAAAGGTTAGATGCCCTTCTTGTCTGCTATTTTAATCTGCCACTTCGCTTTTATGCTTGCCCACACCCAACAGGTAGTTGAACTTCCCTTGATGTCTTTTGACTTCTTAGAACTGCAGAACTGGAAGGGACCCTATAGATCATCAAGTCCAGCCCCTCTCAAGGAGGCATTGTGAGGAATCAAACACAGCTCCAGTTGAAGCCAGAGACCACAGCCAGAGACCTCAATCCAAGCCCTTTGTTTTGGTCACAATTTATTTCTCAGACCTGCAGAGTTAGGAACTGCATGGACCTCCTCCATGTCCCAGAAGTGATGTTATTTCAGGGGAGATGCTGCCATTCAAAATTGGGTGAAAGTAACTTGGGGGCGGGGACAGCACTTTTACTGACTCAATCAACACTAAACAAATTTTATCCTGAAATTTCTCCCCACCCACCATCAATGTTGGCATTGGTGAGCTACAGGTCCAGATTTTCTTAACACCACCTTTGGACATGAATGTTTCCAGCCAATAACTTCCAGGTCTCATGTCTAATTTCAAGACAAAAGGCCCCTTCCAACGCCATCATTCTATGATTTCATGATAAGCTTCAGAAATCTTAGTTGGCTTGAAACTGTCAATAATGCGACATACAATTCCCACAACATACAAACAAGAACTCTTGTTCAAGTCACCTCATTTGGAAACAGCCAGTGTCTTGAGATTCAGTGGTTTTAAAATCATCAAACAGTCAGAGCTAATATATTGCAAAAATCACCACATGGAAGAGGATAGATCCTGTAAAATTCAGAGTAAAACCTGGAATAGACTTACTGTCCCACTGACTTTGGAGTCAGGGAAGATCCTTGGCTTCTTTGATGATGGAACAGGCTCTCATGGAAAATGAAGTTGTAAGAACTACGCATTTCAAAACTCTGCTGGGTTTGTGAAAAACATTCCTGAAAATGAGTAACCAGATTGAAAAACCATACATTTAGTCAAAACTAAGATTAGACTTCTGAATCTCAACCTTGAATGGGTTGCCTATAATTCAGCCTTCAACATTAATGGAAGACGGAACAATGTATGTTTTACACAAGGGACTTTCCCAGTTTTTTTTTTTAAACATATTTTTGTTAGAAAAAATGGGAGTGGCACTAAGGATTGTGATTTCAGGATCCAAACTTCAGGGCTGGCTATGTTTAGTGTCCAGAACTTTGGGGAATAATTATGGGTTGGTGACCTTTGGGAGTTGAGGGTTGAGCAGAAAATCTCCAGAGAAGGTTCGCATTGAGGCTGAGCAATGATAGTGAGATCTCCAGCAATGGAGGAATCCATCAGATCTGCTTTGATTTTGATTCCTGCCTTGAGCAGGGGGGGTTGGACTTGATGGCCTCACAGACCCCTTCCAACTTCATGATTCTATGATTCTATGGTTCTATGCCTGAAATCCTGGTCTTCGTGTATCTTTTCAAAGCAGAAAAAAATTCCCCAGAGGACAGGATTAAAATTCAAAATGACCTTGACAGATTAGAGTACCAAATTTCCTTGAGGATCATTAGGAAGTGTGACCACCTACATAGAAGCCGAAGTTTTAACACTTTTCTGATCTGGAGCATTCAGGTGTGTTTTAACACAATGCCAAGGAAGAAACACATCAGCAATGGTCATAGAGAACATGAGTCAGAAGTGTGATGCGGCTGCTAAGAAAGCCAATGCGATTCTTGGATGCATCAATAGGAGTATAGTGTCTAGATCAAGGGAAGTGACATTACAGTAGTCAGTTTATAAGACTACCCATGCATGGACCAGCAGTGTTAGGGACATATCATCCAGATAAGGATGCAGTTGAGCAATTCACTGAATCTGAAAACAAGGCAGAATGAATCACAGCAGAGACGTTTTGACACATGATGCCCATTTTGTCTAGATTCTGTTTCAGCTTGTTCACCCTCATCCAGCCCAGTACTGAGGGCCAGCAACAGTGGAGTTTCCAATGAATAAGAAATATTTAACATGGTTGTTGTTGGTTTTTCGGGCTCTTTAGAATGAATCAGAGACGTTTTGACACATGATGCCCATTTTGTCTAGATTCTGTTTCAGCTTGTTCACCCTCATCCAGCCCAGTACTGAGGGCCAGCAACAGTGGAGTTTCCAATGAATAAAATAAGATTAACATGGTTGTTGTTGGTTTTTCGGGCTCTTTGGCCGTGTTCTGAAGGTTGCTATTCCCAACGTTTCGCCAGTCTCTGTGGCCGGCTTCTTCAGAGGACAGCACTCTGTGCTCTGGTGTAGTATTATACTGCACTCCCAAAGCCAACTACACCAGAGCACAGAGTGCCGTCCTCTGAAGATGCCGGCCACAGAGACTGGCGAAACGTTAGGAAGAACAACCTTCAGAACACGG